AAAAACACTGGTTTAGACGATACATGGACTCCTCTTTGAATTAAATTATTATTAAATTACTAGGTATGATGATGAGTGCCTTGTACTTTTTCCACATGACAAGCTTTATGATGCACATAATATTCGGCTCATAAAGCTGATTCTGATTCGGTTAGTAGGTTTACGACCTAACAACACAAAAAGACCAAAATAATAGTAATGGTTGTTATAGCGGGCTGCACAGTGGCACAGTTGGTAGCACTGTTGCCTTTCAGCAGAAAGGTTCTGGGTTCGATTGAAATGCATGTTCTTCGTGTGTGTATGTATGTGTGTGTGTGTGTATGCGTGTGTGTGTGTGTGTGTGTGTGTGTGTGCATGGTTGTTTGTCCTGTCTGTCTTTGTGTTGCCCTGCGACAGACCGGCAACCTGTCCAGGGTGAACCCTGCCTCTCGTCCGAAACGTTAGCTTGAGATGGGCACCAGCAGCCCTACTGACCCCACCAAGGGACAAGGGTGTAAAGAAAATGTATGGATGTGTTGCTGGTGCCCATCAAAGAGTTTTCAGGTGTTTTTCAATTATCCCATTAAAAAAAATCTGAAAAACTACTGTTATTATATCTTTATACAACTTGGTTCTTTATTACTTTTTGGTGAAGTTACTAGGAGCCTCTTTGGATCTTCCACAGTGACCTATGAAGTTATCCTTCCATGAGGGGAACTACCCTAAACAAATACCAGAGCTACAATGAAATGGTTAAGATCAAAGAGTTTTCATGTGTTTTTCAGGTGACGTATGAGAGTTAAAGCTTCAGTGCTGGTTTCACTGATTAGCCCATCTGCTGCTTATTGTAAACCAGAACAAAGAAAACTACCCAGTGCCACAGACAAAACCAGAAAGCAACTATAGAAAGTGAGAGAATGCAAAGGAAACATCTGGACGGCACTGATGTAAACAGAATTTATTAGGTAGCAACCAGATCCAAGCGCTTCTGTACCTTCTACGCTGCTTTCAGGGTAACCGAGGAGACGACTTAACTTCTTTGTGTTTGAGTCACATTTCACTGGCATTCTCCCAGCAGTGTTAGCCACATCCTCCGCTACTTACCAGCCAGTTTTGCCCTGATTAAAACCAATTCACTGCATTCCATTCTACGTTTGCCCCTTCCAACTGTAGTCACATTCTTCCAAGATGTTTTCCCTTTCCCCCCCGCCACTTCTTTTTCCATTCAAATTAAACCTAAACGTTCTCTGGCCGTTTTTCTGCCTGGCAGTGTTACCCTTCATTCACTCGCCTTCTGTGGTTTTGTTTCTTTTCCACTGAAAAGTTCTCGTCTACATCCCTCTTTCATCTTAACCTTTTTTTTTCGTCATTTTATCCACCCATCTTTTTTTGTGACCAGTTTCTTCTTTTTTTTTCGTTTTTCATCTAGCTTTTTAACCGTCTGGTTCTCACTCTTTTTTTTCACTTCTCTCTCATGCCATTTTTCCGTGTTCGTGTTTTGCCAGTGTCAATAGTTGGACTCTCGACCCAGCAGAAATGCCTCACTCTGCCTGCTGCTAAGTTTAAAATGTTACTCTTTATGTGCAAGTTGCCCTGTGCCTTCTCACCTAATTCCTCATTTGGGCCAGTGGTTTATAAATGTATTGCTTTTTTTGTGGTTGTTACTTTGTTTTTCCTTTTTTTTTTTTTTTTTTTTCACAGACAAATGTTGAGACCAAAATAAGGAGCGTAATGTCCTGAGAGAGAAAATCAATTTCATTATCTCATTAGACGCTTGGTTTGCTGCTAATCTTATTTGAGGAGAGAAACCAGAAGTTTAAATACACCATATAAAAAGATATGTCCGCTTTTTTTCCCTCTCACTGTTTGAAGTTAAATCTCTTGTAATTACCAAAATTATTTCTATTTGCTAAATATCACAATAATGAGGGAATTAATATGTCAGAGAGTTATTGATTAATGTCTTTAAAACCAGAAATTTATATAAATTTCCTGAGTATTCAGTAGTGTTGCCTTTGAACTGCATGCCTTCGATCAAATGATTTGGGTTTCCTACCATCAGCTTATAACAATAGTTTGTTGGAGTTCTGCTCCATTCCTCCAGACAGATCTAGTGGAACTCAGTCAGGTCTGTAGGTCGTTTTGCTCTCACATGCCTTGGCAGATCAGCCCACAAATTCAATTTAGATCAAGACAACCCCAAAACAATGACTTTGTTGTCCTTAAGACACTTTGGAACCACTTTGGCTGTATTCTATGGGCCATTATCCATTTGGACAATTCATTCATTTAAACTTCCTGACTGATGTCTTTAGAGGTAGCTTCAATATTGTCCCTTAATGTTCTTGCCTTGTGATGCCATCTATTTTATGAAGTGCACCAGCTCTTCCCCAGTCTTAGGATGGTGTTGATTGGGTACAAGCATCCTGGTTTTTAGTTGTTTTTTTTCCTCCAAATGTTTTGATAGTCATTATGTCCAAACAGTTCCACTTTAGTTTCATCAGACCACAGGACATATCTTCAAGAACAAAGGTCTTTGTTCCTTTGTAAATTTGTGAAACTGCAGTCTGTCATTTTAAGTTAGTTTTGGAGAAATTGTTCCTCTTCGCTGACTGGCCTTTCAGCCCAGTGGCACCACTTGCGCCAGCATCTTCACAAGGCATTTGACTTTTGTTGTGCTGTCTTTTGACTTTTAATCAGGCACTTTTTTTGGCTTCTGATTTACTTCTTCGAAGGGAGATTTTGTACCCAACCTTTTTGTGCTCCTGGTGCCTTGAAAAAGTATCCACATTTGGGATGTTACAACCGCAAAGTGCCGGGTGTAGGTACGCAGTCGGTTGCCTGTTGAACCACCTTCATTCCAATTGGTGCTGAATATCTTCTTGGGTATTTCAATGTGTTTTTGGTTTGATGTAGAGTTGGAGAGGCTGTAATATCAACAGGACAGTTCAAAAATGGGAATTACACAAGTTTTGTCCTTTTATTCAACACATGGTACAAAACTTTAAAAGCCCAGTTGAACAGTTGTCCTCTCATCATACATGAAGTCTAAGAGTCTATATAACACATTATCATGATTAATTGCTTAATTTCTTATTGTGACAGGCTTAGTTCCAACAGTCCAAAGGGAGTATGGATTATCTGTGCCAGAAAAGCAGTAATGTCACCCTGTCTTCACATGTATTTGTGTGAAAAGACTATGCTGCTCATTCTGGATAAAGTCCCCTTTTGTCTGTTTTTGCACATGATCCCTGGTAGAACTTAAATCAGATTTCTTTTTTCCCCCAGGGGAATGTTTTCATCTTCCTGACACTTTTTTCTGTTCACATTTTCACACGTCTGCACAGGCAGTTCTGTACGAGGCATGGAACCCCGTCTCGTCTTTTCATTACAAATACGACTGTCCAACAATTTGAGAAAGAACGGTAATTTGTTGTGTTTAGTCTAGCTTTGCAAAATGCAGCTTTTAAAGAAGATAATTAAGCTTTGTGCTGAGGTATCAGGTCACGCTGACCGGGGAGGGAGTTGGCATGTCCACGAATTACAGTGCAAACTGGTCCCTCAGTTCATTTTCAGATGCATTAAGAAAAGGAAATGCTTAAACGGTTTTTCTTCTCTTTGCTGTTGCTGTGGAGTCCAAATATTTTGAAACAGTTTTATCTCTTTTGTCAGGTAGGATCAGTGCTATGGTTTCAAAAATATGCTTCAACTAGAAATGGCATAATTTTGCATCTCTGTTTTTTTTTTATCAGTTGAGTAGCCTTTTCATCAAATACTTTTTTATAACAGAGTAACTTCTTGGATGGCTACTTTTTACTTTTATTTGAGTAAAAATATGTTGATATAGTTCTACTCTTAAGTACAGGCTTTTAGCACCTCAGTAAGTAATGAAAATGTAAATAATTCTCCTTTTCTTGTGGAAGCTGAGATAATTCACTTTTGCATCATAATTTTAAAGCACATTTGATCAACATTGCCATTCTGACCCACTCTCATCCTGAAAATATGTTCAGTTGGAGAAAAATGAATGTACAACGCCTTGATGAATCGGTATTTTTTTTTACCCACCTGTAGTTTACTGTCCATCGTATCAGAATGACCTTCTTCTGTTGCCTCTGTTGAAAATCTGATAAGATATAAACAATGGAGGCTTCCATGCAAATGAATGCATTGCACGAGAAGCCTGGTGGTTATCATGAGAGAGGAAAAATACTATTAATATCTAATCCCTAAACTCTACCTCGGTGTTGTTTAGTGTTACTGTAGCAGTTCTGACCTTTATTCTTCAGTGTGAAGATGTATTCCACAGTGTGGAGTCACCCCTGTGTGTGTGTGTGTGACATGGTTCAGAAGAGAAACACACACTGTCTTGTTATTTATTGTAAACAGAGAAAGGCCTGTTTCCACTGCACTGGAAGGCACAGTTAGCATGATGATGCTATTACTGTCTGCTTGCATAAACATCACCTCTTCCTGGTTTACCTTTTTTGCTTTAACCCAGCGGCAGCTGGTAAACAGACAGAAGGTAATGTTGAGCCTTTATGCCAGACAAGATATCTTTGGAAAAAACGTTTGTGTCTCATTTCCCTACTAATGCTAATTAGTCAATATGAAATGTTTGGACGACAGTGTTTTCTGTGTGCATGCGTGCTGTCATACAGACTTCCTGTCTGTTGGGTCGGAACTGCCACAGCTTCCCCTTCTGTCATCATCTGCCGCTCTTTTTTAGTTAGTGTTGTAGTTACGCTCGGCTGCACATTCAAACCCACGTTAATGACTTAAGGATTCCTGCTAACTTTGACCAGGGTAAGAATTTAAAAATTTAAGACGATACAAGTTTCTTTCTCTGCTGAAAGTTTGACATCTCGGTTTTGTTCTCGTGAGTTGAGCGTTGGCTGTCTCTCTGCTGGGTAACACCCTGTCGAGAAGATGGACTGATGATTAGAACCGGGTTCTTTCTAAGTCTTCACCTGTTTGAATTACTAAGTTATGAGTAACTGCTCAAATAAGTTTGTTCAGTTTATGGGTCTATTAATATATGGCCATAATGACACCCACCGCTCTGGGAGCCTGTAGTTACAACTTTAGCTCTTCTTAGCATGCTAATGTGTTTCCACTAATAGAGCTTGCATTAAGGTTCATTCTCCTTTTGCTTTTTCTCATTTTCTAGCCACAAACTTAAATGTTTTTTTAATTTTATGTGATGCACAAACTCAAAGTAACACATTTTTGTGGAGTGGAAGTATTTATTTGTACAGCACATTTCAGCAACACATGCAGTTCAAATTGCTTTACCTGATTAAAAACATAACAATTATGAACATAAAACATCACATTTTCTCAAATGCCATAATCTAAAGTCATCATAGTCAAATATTGGAATGAAGACGAGAATTTTTCAATGTTCCAGTTAATATTGGCAAAAAAAAAAAAAAAAAAAAAAAAACTTTAAACAGATGGGGTTTTGACCTTGCTTTGAAGGAACTCAGTGTTTGGCTTTTTTGCAGTTTTCTGGAAGTTTGTTTCAGATTTGTGGTGCATGAAGACAGACTGCTGCTTCTGCATGTTTGGTTCTGTCTCCGGGTAAGCAGAGACTAGAACCAGAGGGAGGTTTGCACAAGGACAACAGCTCTATGACGTATTTTTGTTCCAAGCCATTCAGTGATTTATAAACTAACAACAGTATTTTAGAGTCTATCCTCTGAGCTACAGGGAGCCAGTGTAGGGACTGAGATGATGTGAACACAAGCAGCGATGTTCTGGATCTGCAGAACATTGCAGATCCAGCTGTCTGATTAACTTCTTAGGCAGACCTATGAATAAACTATTGCAGTAATCAATGTGACTAGAGATAAACACATGGATGAGTTTTTCTAGATCTTGCTGTGACATTAGACCTTTAATCTTGGAGATGTTCTTCAGGTGACAGAAGACCGACTTTGTGACTGTCTTTATGTGACACTGAAGGTTCAGGTCAGAGTCCATCACTACCCCCAGATTTCAGGCCTGATCTGTAGTTTTTATCTGTGATACTGAAGCTGTATGCTGACTCTAGATTATTCCTCTCAGTTCCAAAGACAGTAACGTCAACATATCAGGTGTGTAGTTTTAGCGTAGAGCTCTCCAGAGCGTTGGCACAGTCAGGTGTAAAGCTGTGAGCAATTTACTCTGATGCCTTGTGTTACTGGCAGGTAATGATGTTTGAGCTTATCCTGCAAGTGTGACCACAAGCTAACAAAGCAGCTGGGACCAGGTTGCTCCCTCCTTCTATCAGTCTTCTTTGATTGAACAGTAAGGTATTTTCCTTTAAGTTCACCAGCTCTGTTGAGGTCTGCAGGTGGTACGTGTGTGTTTTTGTTTGCATCAGATCGCAGGAACAATTGTTTGTATGTCCTGTAGAGCTGCACTTATGTACTCCTGCTGTGTAACCCCAGGGAGTGTGCAGTATTAGTTGGATAACATGTGCCCAAGATTAACTGCAAAAGCGCCTTTTAGAGACTTAACTGTTGGCATGGCTACCACCACCGCTGCTGCTTTGTTATGTTTCACTGCTGCTGTGCCACCACAGCATGTTGCTGCTCCTACAGTTGTATCCACTGCTATTATTATGGCTGTGTGAATGAAATATTATTATTATAAATTATTAAATTATTCCCAGTTGGGATGTGGAGACTCTGCATGTCTTTCCTGTGAGCATGAATTTGTTGTTAAAATAAATTTCAGTTATTGATGGTGAATTAAAAAAAATCAATCGGTGTGATCGTAAATGTATTTTTTTTACTAATTTCTCCATTGTTCAATGGAAGGATCAGTAAATATCAGTAAATTTGAAGATATGATTAAATGTAGTTACTGTGTAAAGTTTAGTGATACAAACCACACTATTTTTAAGTAAGTGCGTCCAGAAGACGCCCGTTTCAAATGAGATTTTTTTTTTAAGAACAATGTTTGTGTTTGTGGCGCTATGAATGCTGAGCCATGCAGTCACCTGAAAAATAAGTAATACGTAGGGTTTTTTTTTTTACATAATCTTTATCGTTATCATGATAGTTCCTCAAAATATCGCAATAAAATTCTAAGTCTATATCTCCCACTCGTTGTATATTGTCTTTAACTGATATTTACCAGTCTTATATATATTACTACCCTTCTGACATCTTGAAAAGAAACAGGCAGCCTGCTGGCTTCACCATTGCTTCCCACAATCCTTTGCTACATCAGCGTTACTGTCACATGACCAAACAAATATGTCATGACGAACCTTTTCCTTTTCCTGTCTAGAAATTAATGGCAATAAACGATATTAGCAGTTCCTAATATCGACCCCATTTCATTTATCAAACTGAAACCGATACGTTAAAACTGACTAATTTCAGCCAATACTGATGTTGGTGCCGATATATTGAGTATCGCTAGTAAAACTAGCTTTCTTAATCCTATGATTTTTTTCATCATATCTCTTCAGTCATGGCTCGTAGGAGTTCTCGCCTGGTGTCTGGTGGCTACTACCATTCAGATGAGGAATCCGACTCCAGCAGTGTGACCAACATATCCTACAGAGAAAACCCTGTCAAGCAAGTATCTCCAGTATTTGTGTGCAAAGCATGGATTCTGGCTTGGAAATCCAACTCTAGTCCCATGTGTGATTGTTCTCTGACGGCCATTTGTCCTCCAGGGTTTTCAAGAAGAAGTCCGGAGGTCGGAGGTCGGCTTCCCGCACCAGCAGCAACTGCAGTTCTGCCAGCCCAGAAACTCCGGTCCCTGAGCCAGGTCAGTAGACTCTGTGAACTCCTGAACATTTAGTCAGATCTCTGTTGTAGAGCTCTTTTCAAAACAGCAACGCTAAATAATTACTAATTTAACAAAGCAATAATAATTAGACAGCTAATTAAATGTCCTGTCGTCCGTCACACTGAGGAAGCACCATCCATGTGGGAGTGGGACAATCTGACACGCAGCTCTCTGTTCCCTTCCAGGTCTGACGGCAGGGAGCGCTCCCACCCTATCGCCCCTGAGGAGCGTCACCTTCGCCCCCACCGCGCCGACCCCTCGGCCGGCTCTGACTCCATCACCTCCTCAGAACCACACGTCCAAGCAATGCTACTCGATGACCCCGGAGAGGAGCTCTTCTCCTGGCCACTGCGGCGCCGGGCTGCCGCCCAGATCCAAAATCAAGGAGCAGAGTCAAAGTGGCGTCGACAGCTCAGGGTACTCGTCTGCCGAGGGCCCCTACAGGAAGCCTTCACCTGCTCCCAGCACAACCAGATCCCCGCCTGGCAATAGTGGTGCAGCTCCCAGTCCAGGATACAGGAGCAGGATCAGTGGTGCCTTTTCTAATCTAATGAGTGAGAACTACTTTGTGTTTTATATCTGTGTGTGCGTGTTTCTGTAGAACCCTAATGAAAGTCTTTGTCTCTACTCTGCGACAGATTCAGCCTCAGTGATGGCTGCTCATGCTCACAGAAAAGTGCTTCATCTCACATCTTCAGGTTCGTCATCTTTAGATGTGTTTCCACTGACCATACAACTGAGCAATTTCACATTTCGAAAATAAATTAGCTTAATGGAAACACGTAATTTTGAAACTTTTTTTTTTTTTTTTTGCTAAAAAGTTTTGGCGCTAGGGTATATAGAGTAGGAGGGTTTTTTGGGGTTTTTTTTTACCGTATCGGTATTTTGCAAAACTGCTAAGTTTGCCAAGAGAAGAGAAGCAGGTTTGTCACCTGTTGCTTTGTTTCGGGACACAGCTTGTGCGTGAGATTTATGGGCGTACTAGAAACAGACAACAAAGGTTCCGACTTGATATGTAAAATACCAAAATACTTTGGTGTTCAAAAAATAAAAAAAGCAATTAATTGCTTTCTAAATTTGTACACCTTAAAATCTAGAAATAAACATCAGTTGTCGATATCGGACTGATACATTAAAAAAGTGACTAACAATAACATCGGACAATAACGATATTTTTGCTGATGAATGGTGCATACCTAGACAACGCCAGTATTTTTATTACTTTATTACTTTTTAACATCTGCCTGTGGATCATAAGCTGCTTTCACATGCTGATATTTATGTAAAAATTGCTTCTTGTGATTTTTCTAGCTTATAAAAATATCTCTGTAAGTAAAACATGAGTTCTCTCTCTCATATATCTACCGATTCAGTCAGGGACCGGACGAAGAAGGCTCTCCTGCTGGTCCTCCTGCTCCTCATCATACTTCTGTGTAAGTTACGCCAACATTCAACATATCTGAGCCTGCTTGGTTGTCTGGTTGATGTTTTAGCCTCGTGTTAAAGACACAAGCATTAATCTAGCAGATCTGTGGAGATCTCTGCAGATCACGTTTCTTTTTAGCGAAAGCAGGACACGCCCTTTTGCAGCGCTGCTAGAGCTGCTGTCGTGTGAAGGGCATAAACTGATCGAGAGCAGGGTTTTCCCCAGGAAATCAGACGAGGTGGCAGGGTCTGACTCAAAGCAGCCGTGTTTCATGTTCCACCCCACAGTGACCCAACATGTCACGCACCAGTTCAATGACGCTGTAGTTACTGTGTGTTTCTAACTGCTTTATCTGAAGCGTTGTTTTTCCTCTTTTCTTTTTCTCCAGGTATTTGGTTGCTTCTTCCTTTTCTCACCTCTTTCGTCGTTCGCACACAACCCGAGATTCGACCCAGCACCTTCCACACAACTGTGGTGGTAGGACTCGGCTACAGCTTGTGTGCTTCTCTGTGTGTCTGTGCTGGATAAGCTGGTTTCCATGGTGCACTGCTGGGAAAAACTATTCTTCCCTCTTACAGATTCGTTCTGTTCTCACTAGCGATGCGCCGATCCGATATTGATATCTCTATCAATATTGTTATTGAAATAAATTGTAGATTGGGTATCTGTGACAATGTGGCTGATCCATAAGAGTCGATCTATTCATTCTAGTCCTGTCCTTTGAGTGACGTGATGCTTTATTATTTATTTTACATTTCGAATTCCTAATTGCACTTTGTGAAACATTTGAAATAAAGTGTGTTGCAGTTTATTTGTGCGTGTTTGGTCAAAGTAGTCAGCATGTTGTTTTTGTCATTATTTATTTTACATTGGTTGTTCGACTCAACAAATTAAAGTTGTTTTTCACAACAAGCTTGTGACGGTATTTGTGTAATTAGCTGTGTTCTTTACTGGTGCAGAGTTATCAAATAAATTTGTAATTCGGTACATGTATGCCTGTGTTTAAAAAGAAAAGAAACGTTTTAATCCAGTTCAGCTGTGTTTCCGTATCAGATCGGTATCGTACGATACTAAACTTCAGATATTGGTATCGGAAGCGAAAAAAGTGGATCCGTGCATCCCTAGTTTTTTGATACTTTGTAAAACAGAAATATTCCACGTCCTCCAACAAATTCTGATATCAGACAAAAGTTAATCGGAGTAAATTCAAAAGCTGCATTTTACTTCACGAGTCACATGCAGGCCTGATCTCTGCAGAGTTTTAAAGTGAAAATCAGTTCTAGCTAAATACTCCAACTCACATTTAGACTAACGTGAAAAAAACTAACTTTCTGAAGGTTTGTGTTTGCTGTCACATAACAACGTACTTTGTAGAAAGGGCATCATGTCCACAGTCAAAACATGGTTTTAGTATGTAGTGAGAGCATGAAGAGGTGTGAACATTTATTTACAACCTGCTTGTTTTAAAAGATGTCGTGTGTGTGTTAGCTTTGCTCACAGCTGTGATGTTTTTTCACCTTTGAGTTGATTATTAAAAGTATATTTTTCTTCCATCCAGGATCCAGACGTCGTTTCTGCTGCTGTACAAGCAAAGATGCAAGATTTTCTGGTAAGACAAAGGAAATGCATCAATAGACAAAAAACTAGAGATAAATTTAACATTTGTAATATTTAGTTATTGCAAATGGTATCGAACAATAAATGAAATAAGTTGGTTAGAATGGATTCGAGGCCTGATCCCTGATCCAGAAACAGATTTTTATTAAATCTGTTTGTGTTTTTCTGTCCCAGGTGGCACTTCAGCTGAAACAGGAACAGCTTCTCTGTCAGGTTGGTTTACTTTTGTGTTTGTTCCTCTTTTTTTTTTTGGTACATTTATCCAGCTGTCATGGCAGTATCTATGGTGATCAATTAATACAAAGCAAAGAAAAATCAAAATCAGAACAACCTTCACACATTTTCTCTTCAGCTGCCAGATATCACTTGACAAAAAGAGAAAATGTCATTATTGCATTTTAGCATATAAATGGCATACAAAAGTGATTTTTGTATGTTTTGTTGGAGAAATTTTAAAATAAAAAACAACTAAATGAATCCATTCACCTCTGAGGCACAATGATAACAGCAGAAGCAAAATTATGCAATTTTAACCCATCAACAAATTTAGATTTTAATTTGACTGAAAGCATTGCCTTTATATTTATGTATCAACAAACTGGCTGGAAAACAGTGAATTTGTTCTCAGTTGGCTGAACCAAATCCAGTGTTCTGTTTTATTATATATATTTTTTATGTCCTTTAATGAGACGTTTCTGTTGTTATTTAAGATTCTTAAAAGAAAATGAGGTTCAGTTAAACTTGGCTCAGCTTCGCCTACAGTGACCTCTGGTGCCTGAGATGTGAAACTGCAGAAATTATATATTTTTTGTTGGATTCTTTTATTTGTGGCTGCAGGTTTAAAAACTAGTGTGCTTTATTTTTAATAACTTTGATTATACATTGACAAAAATATATTTAATAGCTCTTATGTCTAACATTTTTAACCTCATCACTTTAATTTTCTGATATCACTGGGATCGGAGTAGGACACGATGTGTCGGTTTAGAATAACTTCTTTTCTCCAAGTACATAAAATCATTATTGGAAAACTGCTTTTTGTGTTTATCTTAGTTTGATACTAAAATGTCTCTGAGAATCTGAATCGTGAGAGTAATTAAATAAGCCAAAACAGAAGAAATCTGGGAGTGGGGTTGGGAGTGGAGGGCAAATACTTTCTCATAGTCAGTCTGTACACAATGTGCAGAATGAGTGTGTGATTATTTTTGATAAATAACTGCCTGTCCGTAAGGAGCTGCTGTATCCACACCCACCAGCTTCTCTGTATCTTTCTTCCGCAGCTGAAGGAGAAACATCAGCTGGACGTGGATTTCCTGAAGGCGAAGATCGAGGCGGACTCTGACATCCGCCGCCTCCTGCAGCAGGAGGTTTCTGGTCTGGGGAAGCAGATGGAAAATCATCAGATGGACAGCCGCTCCACTGCCGCCAGCCTCAGCCTCAAGATCCAAACTCTGGAGACCCAGAATGCCAAGGTAACCCACGGAAACGTGTCTGACTGGCGGAGACGTTTCCTCCCTCCACCAGCACTTTGTTCCGGTTTCACTATGGCCCCTCTCTGTTGCTGTAGTTGTCCCAGGAGCTGTCCTCCATGCAGGCGACGCCGCCTCCAGACTCCGCCCACAACCAGCTCACACCAGAGCTCCAGCTGGCCATGGAGAAGTGGCTCATTGACCGCATCAAGGTAGCCAGTCTGGACATCGTCATGGAAGTGTGAACTCCTAAATGTGTGTGTTTCTTACTGTTGGCTCTGTTCTTCAATCAGGAACAGGAAACAAACAAGCTGGAGGTCAAAATGGACTGCACAGGGTGTAGACGTCCAGAGGCGGACAAAATGCCTGACTTTGCTCTCGAGACTCAAGGTCAGAGGTTTAAAATCTCCTGCATGATGTTTGTGTTTAAAATTCTACCAAGCCTGCTTCGTTTGGTAGGGAAGCCGAGACCACAGATACTTTCCCCCGATGGTTTTCTCCAGATAACAAACTAATTTGATGATGGTTTTCTAGATAAGTTCACTTCCAGATCGCTTTGTTGAGATAAGTTGATTGGTGTGTATGTGTGTTTTAAGCCTGATTCCATTCTGCCTGTCATGACAACCTGAGAGGAGTTCTAAGTGTAAGTCATGGCATGTGTGTGTAACCATAACTTATTATCTCCAGAAAACCATCAAAAAACTAAATCACGATAACGGAAGAAGCTCTATCATCTGAAGAAAACAGTTATTATTTTCTGATAACAAAACATAAATAAACTACGCAAATATGACATTTCTTGGCTTCCTTAGGTTTGATGTTTTTTCAAATAAAAAACCCCCCAGAAATATTTAAATGTTTATATCAATCTGAACGTTCTTCTTAGTGTGTGTAAAATATCTGTTCTTTTTAATTGTGCATTGAAGACACACAATGACCTTTTCTTCTTTCCATTAACCCGGTCTTTTTGTGTGTGTGTGTGTGTGTGTGAAGGTGCCAGCATCGTCAGCACGCGGTGTTCAGAGACGTATCGCATTCGCTCGGCGTGCATCGTTCTCTTTGGTTTCCCTCTCTGGTATCCGTCTGAGAGCCCGCGCACCGTCATCCAGGTACGACATCCTGTTTGCTCCGTCGCTAAACGTTAGTTTTCCCAGGCAGGCTTGCTAACGAAGCCTGCTGTCCCTCCAGGGTTACCCGGTGCTGCTCCCTGGGAAGTGCTGGGCGTTCCACGGCGTCCAAGGTAGCCTGGTCATCTCTCTGTCTCACCCCATCAGAATAAGTCATGTGACTCTGGACCACCTGCCTCGCTACAACTCCCCCACCGGCCACATCGACTCGGCACCGAAAGACTTTGAAGTCTACGTGAGTTCTACGATGCTCCACACATTATTTTTTTGTTTTGTGTGTCCTGGTAGCTCAAACAAAACTCTGTGGTGGGACTGGTTGCCTTGCAGTGTCAGTGACATGTTTTGCTCTACAAATCACTCCTTTCAGCCGATTTGAATACATTTGTGGCACCACATGCCTTTCAGGCAGCAAGTCAGCCGGTTACAAAAATGACAATAACACACAGCAACATAAAAGAGGAAAAATGAATAGTGATTCTAATGTCAATAATGGCTAACTTTCTGTAATTATTTCAGCTGGTTCATTAGCGAATATAAAATGTAGAGATTTGTTCATGTCTTCCAGTGTATTTAAACTGAGTGTAAAAAATATTCCTTGGCAAATATTGGAGCTCACAAATGTGATGCACTGAGTTTATTATGTCATTTCTATTTCAGAAGATCTAACTGAGCCTTAACTGTGCTCCAGACCTTCATATTGCTAATCTTGTATGAAACATATTATTATAATTAATATTTTGTATTATTATTATTATTATTATTATTATCTGTGGTGGAACTTGATTTAAAAAAGAAAAACAACTTGCACATAATAGTTTTTTCCAGTAAAAAAGTTAAATTGAACTCCCAGTGGCTTTGTCAACCATCGCTGTTGTTTGTAGTTGTGCGTCAGATTTACCAGAAACGTTTCAAAAATAAAATAAAAAAGAATGTGATTAATTGCGTTAACATGCATGTAGAGGGAGCTTCATTAAGAGCAGCTTTCCTCTGTTTCTTTCTCTTCCAGGGATTGAAAAATGACACAGAAGAAGGAACGCTGCTCGGGACGTTTTTTTATGATGAAGACGGAGAGTCAACTCAGACATTTAAACTGCCTGTAAGTTCAAATTGGTCTCTGTTATGCGGTGATGTATTAGGGATATTGTAAATTAAAATAAAAAAGAGTTTCAGAAATTCAGAAAGAGTTTCACCAAAAGTTTCAGAAATTTTGAGATTCATCTCAGAAATTTTGTACAAAAGAACTTCGAAATTTCTGAGTTTGAAAAGTCGAAACTTTTCTAGAAAAATAACTTAAAAAACTTTAGATTAATCTCAGAAGTTTCCTAGAAAGAAACATGGAAATTTCAGAGCATCAAAAGTGGAAAATGTTTGACTTGCAAAAAATGTTTTACTTTTAATACTCAGAAGTTTCCGAGTTTGTTTTCTAGCAAACTTTTGATTTTTCAAACTCTTTCAATTTCTGAGATTTTTTGGAAGAAATGTTCCCCTCCTTCACTTTTCTATCTGCAACATCCCTAATAACCCGTCGTACTACCAGTACATCTTGTTCCTGTTTCCATAGTAACAGAATACAGTCTAACTCTTCACTAATCTCTCTTCCTCTCCTCTCTTCCATTTGTCTTCCTCTCCCCTGCTCTCGCTCAGAACCCCAGTGACGAGGTGTATCGGTTCGTGGAGCTGAGAGTTCTCTCTAACTGGGGTCACGTCGAATACACGTGTCTTTACCGGTTCCGTGTCCACGGAAAGCTCGCCGCCCACGTTTGAGAATCCCTCTGCATCACGTGTTTATAGACATGAAAGTTCTCCCTTATTGTCCGATGAGTAAAGGACTCGTTTCTACTGAAAAGGTGTTGAGTAACATTACTCCTGTTCCAGCTGTTTCCAGCAGCAGGTTTTGTTTTTGCAGTGATTTTTTTTTTTTGTTGGTAATTTTAAAGTTAGAGGAGCTCTTTGTGCAGCGCACAATTAGCTTAGCGGACAGAAGAATGAAGTTTGGCCAAACGTCTGCCTGGTGAAACATTTTAGTAGCATGAGGTTCTGGTAACTTTATGCTTCCAATTATGAGCGTGCCACTAGATCATTTTTACTATTTTTGCTATTGATTATTTCTATTTATGAGTATTTTCCTGCTTCATGGTTCAGTGTTCTAACATACGCAAGAATTTTTTTCTAGTTAAGTGGTGTGTTTTTTTTGTCCTGTTTTGTTTTGTTAGTTCTTCTTGATTATAAAACAACTGAACTAATAAATATTATTGTGGCACAAATAAGGTATCAAAACTTAAAAAAAAATTGCACATTGTGACTAGCAGGTTCTGTCCATGTTGGACGACTTTTTGAAATTAATTTTTGATTTTTGTCTCACCGCCACGATCTATCAAATCTTGATTGACAAGTAAGAATCATGGCAGGCAGCAGTGGAGCAAATTTAATCAGTATTGTTTCTTATTGAGGTAAATTCTAAAAAAAAAAAATATGCAGCTTTGTGTGATTATATTTTGCACTTCTTTTAGGAGACTTTAGTGTGCTTATTTAATTTCTGGTACTTGAAATACTTGAACATCTTTTTTTAATAGACTCCATGCTAATCGCATGAAAGATCTCTTTCCATTTCCTTGTACTGAGGAGTTTATAGGAACTTTTCAAGCTAAAATGCTTTTTTTATTTGTTAAGACAAAACTATAATTTATAAATTTATATATTTGCTTTGAAGGATAGACTTGACTACAACTGTACTCTTAAATCATTAAAAATTCTCAGAAACGAATCTAAATTTTAATTATTTGGCAGAACTGCCAGTACCTTTTGTTTTATTTGTCATATAGCATATTTAGACAGGATTTAGAGGAGGAATATGTATTAATTTACTCAGATACGCACTAGACATGATGGAAGATCATTTATTCCTATCCATCTTTTCAAATCTAAAAATAAATTCAGGATCTGTTTCTTGTCAGAGATCGTAGCACAGGTGTGAGATCGCTTCAAAGTTTAAGGTGATTTTTATTTATTTTTATACATGTCTGACTCATTACCACCCATTTTTAAAAGCCGCTGCACAAATAAAATGGAATCAAACAAGATGGCGGGTAAAGCCTAACCGAAGTGTTACTTTTTAAAACAGACTTTGTGTCTTTCATCCTCATATTAAAGTGCAAAGAACCGAAGTAAAGAAACTCTTTAATCTGCGATTTTATTTTTTTTATCAGTTAAGTAAACTGATCATCCCTGAATACGCTTTACTAAACAATGAATGTCTTACATCTTTACAACATAATGCTTGCGTTTATGTTGTAAATGTTTTTTTGTTTGTTTGTTTGTTTGTTTTTACGGTTTGTTGAGTTCTTTTACTGGCTTTCCTGTCTCGACAACTCAACATATGTAACTCTTAATAAGCTTTTGCATAAATAAATCTGTGTGAGAAAGTTGGGGGGGAAACCGCATCAGATTTTTGCTTTTTTTTTCCTGTTTTCTTTAATAAAAACAAAATAGGAAAATTACCCAACTGCTTCAATTTTGAAATGAAGTCATCACACATGCAGACTCCGTTAAACTAGAAAATTTGATAAGGTTATTGTTTAATAAAGGATTATAACATCTTTGTTGTTGTTTTTTCTTCTTTCCTGCTGAAATTAGTAGAGTTGGAAAATTCTGCTCAGAAAAGAAACGTTATGTTGACAGATCGTGTATAATCTGAAAGATAAATGGAAAAAGTTTGACTCAAGACAAATGTCACCATAATATTCAAACTAAAAAAAAAAAAGTTTATTGATGGAGGTATAACTACTCAGTTTAACTGTGGTTCTAAACTATTGTAATAAACTTAATGATTTCAGGACCGTTTTGGGTCAGAACACAAAGTTTGGATGATTTGAAGATCTCGAGAAGTTTCAGCTCAGTCTTCTGTCAAGATGGAGGCCTTGGTCAGCCAGTAACGCTAAAGTACCAGAGAAATGTCGTCACACTACAATTTGAAAAAAACAATTCCATGTCTCTCCATGTTGTGCTGTGGTTGGCACCAACATATTAATGCATCTATTTGTGTCTATTGTGAAGTTCCTTACCTCATTCGAAGCTCTACAGTAACACCTTGCAATAGATTTCTCATTTGCCAACCTTACATCAGTTGTTTATGGTTTCAGGTTGCATCAGTGAGATGAAGCTTCTGTACGGCTACTGTAGATAAAATACTCATGGGAGATTCACCATGCTGCAGGAGAAACAAAACTTACCATCCAGTTGGTGGCTTATGTTTCCTACTAAAGTTTCTGTAACCTAAAATATCATTTTCTAAAATCCAAAAAAGGAGGAATGTTGGGTAACAGGAGACCTTTTACAACTTTGCACGTTGTTCAGAAAAGTTGCTCCACCTCATCCATCTCCACACCATCCAATCACTGCAGACAGTGACTCAAGTCCATGTAGTTAACCAATTACAACTTAGCTCAATATTATGAACGTGAATCACATGATCTAAATTCTGTCCCATTCCTGAAACGGTACACTTGGTCCTAGTAGAGTGAGTTATTTGTCCCAGTGATCATCAGGATCAGACGGTCGGTGCCGTGTTGAGGTAAGGCGTTTGACGAGATGTTTCTCTATTAAGTGCGATATGAATGGATTAGACATGAATGAAAAACATGAACTTTTACTCCAACTCTTTTTTTTTTCTTCTAGCATTTCCTTCCAGATTTAAAACATGTTGAACACCAGCCTTTATGACAACTCAACCAGCACCGGGGGTCGTGTTCGCCCTCTCTGGTACAATTATCCAGAATGTGCTGTGTCCCCTCAGCCCTTTGCCTTCTACTTTGCGTGCAAGTTGATCAACCTGGTGGTTGGCACTCCGGGCAACATCTTTGTCATCTGGCAAATCGCTTCAAAAAAGAAGAACACCTCAACGTCAGACATCTTCTTCTTCAACTTGGCCGTGCTGGACGCCTACTTCTGCTTGATGACCCCTATAGAGTTGGCCAACCGGCTGGATATGGACAACAAAAAAATCTGGATCTTCCAGAGGTTTGCGTATGGGGTGAAGGACCTAGCACCGCTCTTTCTTGTAAGTTTTTCTTGACTTTGTCCTTCTACTGTGACTGTGAGGAACAAACCAACTAGTGGAAAAGGTGGAGTGGGGCTTAGTAAAGTATCAATATTATTAGAGGAGGTAATTTATATTATTTGCTAGATTGGTATAGAATAATCATATTATTAACTGTAAGCTTTAAAAATAATAGGGAAAAACTTTTTTTTCTTACCTCTTTTAATGGCGCCCCCTGGACTGGCGCCCTTGGCCTTTGCCTACATCGCCTGGATGTCAGGGACTTGTCCTGCTCAAGTTTTAAACATGGCGTTAAAACCAGTCCTTTGTTCTCAACCAGCTAAGAAGCAGATGGTACGTCATGAACAATCTGCTTCTTGGATACAAAAGAATCATCGGTGCTTCGGCTCCCTGTTCTCCCCTGTGATGAACTGAGGGAACGGTATCTGAATGTCTGCCCGACCGTCCGTCGAAATATCTATTTCTTCGTCGAAACACGTTGCCTAATATCACGGTGTCAGTGGCTCTCTTGCGACGCGAGCGCAGCTTGTGAGCTCGCGCGTTTTTAGTCGCGCGGACGGTTTGAAGCGGTGCTTTGGTGCAGGTGAAATATTGTCTGAATTCAAAACTGCTTTCACCCTGCCTGGTGGTGAATGTAAGTAGACTCCACATTTCTCATATTTTTATTTGTTAAAGTTTTTGAAAACCATCAATCATTTTCATTTCGCTTTTCACTTTTGCTCTCCGTTTGTCCAGTTCATCACACAAGATCAGCCCAAATACTCAGAAGTTCATAGTTCTAATGTGAAATGGTAGTGAGGGTTTGAAGGCTTTTGTCAAGCTCTGCACAGACACCCAAATTAGATGACATCACTGAAAAAGCACAAGTACCCTGCAGTAATTTTACAAGCCTAAAAGCCAAATAAATTAACAGACCTAATAAAAGCTAAATGGTTCTACCTGCCTGTGTGTACCCCCAGGTGTGTATCTGTATGGACCGCTACATGGCTGTCGTACACCCAGTGTTTTTCTCAAGCTACCAAGAGACCATCACCCGCATCTGCGTTTGTATCTTAATCTGGAGTTTAATAATGCCCTACAGCATCTACAAGGGGATCAACGGCATTATGAGCGTAACCGGCATCTTCGGCGGGGTCATCCTCTTTGCATTCGCCGTCATGGTCTTCTGCAACATCTCCGTCATCTGGGTCCTCCGGCACTCGGTGGCGGGGAAGGAAAAGATGCACCCGGTGAAGAAGAGAGCCTTCAAGATGGTGCTGAAGAACCTGGGCATCATCGCCTTCAACTACCTGCCCCCCGTGGCCTTCATGCCCTTTGTGTCTTACTACACGTATTTCGAGTACCGCTGTCTGATCAGCATCAGCGTGTTCGCCATCATGGACCTGAGCTGCAGCATCGAGCCCCTGCTCTACATCTCAAAGTCAGAGGGACTGAACAGTATCTGCTGCAAGAAGGCCTCGGAAACCCCGGCCGACGTCAAGGTTTAACCCGGCCATGTGTAAAGTCACTTCCCGTCCATCGACACCCCTACGGTTACACAAGAGTCTTAAAATAAATAGTTATCATGGCGACTTGGTAAAACCCAAGAAAATGTTTGTTTTCTCCCGTTATCCTCAATATTTTTTATTTACCAACTGATGAAGATATTCACATTAATCTTGTGCTGAAAAAAGTGAATTGTTGATCCCACTTAAATAAATTGTTTCAATTAGTAACAAGGAATTGAATCATGTTCATCCAGGTTAATAATTATGCTGTTAAGTTAAATAAAGACAATAAATTAACTTGTTTCCCATCACCAGTCATACCTGAGGGAAACATGTTGCCTACTGATTAAACATTCCTCGAGACTTTGGTTAACTCAAAAAGTAAAGTATAACTTAAAATCATATTTGAACACAATAACTAAAAATGTTTTGTTGTTTTTTTAGTTTGTTTTTTCCCCATTGAAAAGTCTGCAATCAGTTGCTAAATGGCTCATTTTCAGATTATGCTTCTGCAATAAAAGAGTAATTCACTTTAAATATTTGATGCATCTGTAGCAGTGACGGCAACAATTGTAGAGGGCACTGTAACTAGCCAATTTGAATTAGCAAAAGAAAAAAAAAAGTTGCACATCAAATAAAATATATTTAAAAATAGTTTTAAAAGAAATATCTTGCCGCTCATTTAAATATACCGTTCTCTCGCAGGTGTTTAAATTTATCAGTAATCTTTGCAGCTAAATTACGTTTCACTGCTGGTTGCTATGGAAACTCTTAAGCTCTTTTTATTTTTAATGAAACTCTAAAGCTGTGTGGGATTTATAAAACACTTAATGGGCACTTAGGATCTAATTAATTTAGTTCCACAGCAAGAAATGCCCAGTGGAACCAATTAGGAGTGATGTAATGAGGGGTTATGTAGTTTAAGCAAAATGATTAAATATTCCAGGAAATATGTGGCACTGCAAGCAATTATCCTTCTGGTTTACTTACTTTAATAACGTGTGAATTTCTCTATAATAACTGTGTTTTGTTTTGTTTATTGTTAGTTTTGTTTTGTTTCATTTATTGGTGGGGGGGCATTGTGTTTGCAACTTTTGTGTTGAATATATGATAAAGTTAGAGTTTATATTAAGAAGTTATTTAAAATGCATACACTGGAGTCTGATTTGTAAAGATCACAACTTTTACATTTACTGGAATGTTAGTATTCACATAGTTTTAATCAGATTTCTGAATAAAAAGTCAATGTTTTTGATGGAAAGACAAAATACTTGCTTGATGATTTATTTTATTTACATGCTTGGCTGAAGGAAAACAAGCACAGTTTAGTGATTGGTCAAAAAAAAACTTTCACTTAAACGCAGCGACATTAAGCTTCAGTAATTTTAGCATGCATCTCCTTCAGGTTCTCCAGGTCAGCTTCAGGTCCGTCCTCTGACGTGACATAACCCGGGTAAGTAGGGTGGAAGTGCGGGCAGCGAGGCGTGGCGGCTTCGCTTCCTTCCCCTGACGGTGAAGGTGACAGCAGAGGAATCAGCTTGGCGTGAGCGTAGTCGATCTCAAAGCCCTCGAAAATAAGCCCCACCCCCCAGGCGCCGAGTCCTTCCTCCAAGAGCAGCGACACCTTCCTGGCAGCCGACGCCAGCGCTTCGTAGTCTCCTCTCTGCAGTCTGAATATGTCGGAGGTCAGAGGTCGCCGCGGAACCAGCACGGTGAAGCCAGGAGAGTTGGGGAACGGAGTGAGAAAGGCGACATGGCTTTCGTCCTCCCACACGCGCCACTGCTTCTCCTCCCCTCGGACGATGCGCGAGAAGAGGCCGGCGTGAGCCGGGTCGTCGCCCAGGAACGTGAGATCGGGCGGCGCATCGGGGAGCGGCAGCTTCGCCCTGATTCGCTTCTGGACGTCAGTCAGGCTGGAGTCGCTCCATCGAGGAGCCGTTTTGGAGGTGCAGTATCCCGGGTCGTGAGCGTTGTGCTCCTCCTCTCCGGCCAGGTGGGGGCGCCACTCTGCGTCCAGACCGTGGAGGGGCAGCACACGGATCTGTGGGGAGCAAAGTCAATTCAACTTGATCAAACAAAGCGATGCAAACCCAGAACACCTGAAGTGGAAAAAATATGCAGAACACACTAATTACTTTAACGTTACAGTATTTAAGCTTCAGACATGCACAGCTACAGTGATACTTAAAAGGTTGTTAAGAAGCAGCAACTGAAACCTTATAAGAACATAAAATCTGATCAATTTCATTTGTACTGGTACAAGCAGCCAATTACCTTGGAGTAATAACAGTTTTAGGTAAGAATATTTTAACATATTTACAAAACAAAAACATGTAGGCTTCAGTGATGTCTCTTCTTTTTAGTGGTGGGGACACTTCTGCTAATGTGTTTGTAGTTTATCTCTTTTGCTAACGTTTAGCACACTTTCTATAAATTACCTTTTCTGGGTAAATTCCACAGCACTATCTTGACGAGGCTTTCTTATAAACTTTATGTTGAATAAACTTCAACACCTACATAAAAGTTTTGGTTATCAACTTAAGAATTATTCAAGTATCTAGATGTTTATATTCTACTTTATTAGCATTAGCAAAACTAATATCCGCTAAAGTGCTAGTTGCGCTAACCTTAAAGCGCCACTAGCTTCTTTATTAGCTGTGCCCACTACTGCTTTTTTTTTTAACAACAGCAGAGAATAATAAAGTATTATCCTATAATACAAGATATTCATTAGTATGGTTAAGATATGAATTATCTATTTAGGATAGAGTTGGGCAATAAGTGTTAGTAAGTGGCTGGTAGATTTAATATAGAACTTTAGGTAAACTTCCTTATTAAGCAGAATATTTGTCGTTTTAGGTGTTAGCTGCAGCATAACAAGCTAACACTCAGGATGTCTCCACAGTGATCTAGCTGGCTAGGTAGCCAGCAGGTATGTTGTAGCTTTCACAACAGTACTTTCAAAACTTAAGTGATCGGTAGAGTTTGTTTGGATTCTGTAACATGAATATCCATTGATTTTGCAGCTGGAATCATCTAATAGACTCATAGTTTGCAACGGAAAAAAATCTAACTCCATTTTTCTGTGTGATAGAAACTAGACCCCATGGCTAAGGGCAAATCCTTTAAACCCGAGTTTATTTTTCCTCCAGCGTAATTCTTCTCACCTGAGCAGGTTTGTCTCTGTGGGGTCTGCTGACCAGAGCACACCTCCGAACACCCAGCCTGTCACACAGCAGCTCAGCGACGGTCCTCGCCCCCAGCAGCCAGGTCGAGCACTCAGACTCACTGAGGTGGAAGATGCTGCCTCCTGCGCTGCCTGGAGCGCGGCTCTCCAGGATCACGGAGCCCGGGGTCCAGGGCCGGGGGTTCAGGTAGGCCACCAGCCCGTCGGACTGCCAGATCACATGACGAGTTAGAGTGGAGGACATGCTGCGGAGCCAAGAGATGTAGGAGAAGATAAATGAGGTTACCTTCCAGGTAGAACTGGAAAGTTTTTTTATTTATCGTGAAATAATGTCATTAAAAGATATTACACAAGAGATTTTAAATGAGTGGGTTAGGGGTTAGGGTTAAAAAGAGCAGTTAAAAAGCAGATTGCTGAAAGAACAATACTCAGAGCAGTAATAAATCCAAAACGGTACAAAAGAATCTACACATTTGGCATTTAAGATTAAATAAAAGAACTTCCCCAAAACTTCTCAAGTGTCATAGTTTTAGCTTCACCTGTTCAAATTCTGTAAACACAAACAAATAAAAAAATCTCCTGTTGAGCACCTTTTGCTACCAATAATAATAATAAAAAAATCAACCTCTGTATTTATGTTGAATCAAGCAGAGCTTAGAAATATTGTTGTGGCCATTCAAGTTTAATTTTGTAAATTGTAACTTCTATCAATATAGTTTCTCTTTGGGCAGTTAAGTTAATTTAGAACCAAAATTCATAATTAATTTTTATCCTTGGAATAGTTTAGATCACTTTGGTAACTAGGATCCTCCTATTAATTTAAGT